GACAAGTGCATGTTGAATGCAAACAAGAGTAATAGAAGGCTCATGCTCGTCTTTCTTATGCGCATACATTTTTTCCTCGCGTTTCTGGATGACAACCGATGAGTCATTATACGTTTGCTATGTCCACTGCCATTCACAGCTTTCAACGCATCACCAGCCGTTGGTCAGGTATAGTATCGTGCCTGACGCGACACTGCGATCTTATCCGGTCTTTGCTGGGGCCCGTGGGCGCCCACCCGCTCCTCTACTATTCTAATCGTCAGATAGCTGGCGAGGGGGTATCTTGGTCTGGGCCACTGCCCTTCCTTTATCGAGAGATGGACGTCACGGGTGAATGGGTCTGGGACTTACGGAAGTTGTGCGTGCGTGCGTGCGTGCGTGCGTGTGTGCGTCTGTGCGCGCGTGTGTGTGAGGGCAGGCCTGTCCCTGCGATATGTATGCTTCTAGTGTGAAGGTGCCAAGCATAGCGATCGATCTCTCCCGAGGTGTTTATACTCATCATTTCGTCTACTTCCTCCCTCCCATGCTACAATTACAGAGAGAGAGAGACGGTACAGGCTCGTACTACTAGATTGGGGAAGGTGAAACCTGATGCACGGTAACAAACGCAAGTCCAAGCATGAATATGCACTATGAACTTGCAAGCGCAGTTTAGGTCTGTGTTCCTGCAGTTGCCATTTAAAAATTTCCGAGTATTGCTGCTAGCATGTCACATTGAGGGATATCTAATGTTGTTAATTAATTCCTTAATTAGTGACAATTATGTGGTGGTTTCGTCAATAGATGGCGGTGCATACAGATTAACATCACATACGTGGGAATTATGCACTGATCTCTATAATATAATGATTATATTATAGAGATCAGTGGAATTATGACTCGTCTCTTGACTGCCGCCGTAGCGTAGTCGGTAGGAGCTCGGTTTCATAACCCTAGATTCCGCGTTCGAATCTCAGCTGGGGATAAAAAATTTCCCCTTAACTTTTTGACTCTTTTATATGTACTTCTGCCACTTGAGCATTAATTTCAAAATTCATTTTTTTTACTACATTCATTAAAAAAAAAAAGAAGTTTTTATTATTTTGTATGAGTAAATGCCTTTCTTTCAAACTCGTCCACTTGGCAAGATAGGAAGAGCCATTTGTACTATTTTATTTACTACAACTACTGTAAATATTTACATTGTCACTTATAGAATGACAAATTGCAATGATTAATAATATTTTCATCATTACTACTTGTGCTTTCGCTATTGTGTGTCCATGGCAATTAACATTCACTTTTTATTATTTGCAGATCTTGATGCAGTTGTAAGAACACGTTATCCGCGTGAGCAGCTACAACAAGATGTGTCGCGTAAGAACCTCAGGCTGTGTCCACTGCCAGCAACGACACGGCTGCACGCTGCCAGTCAGCAGCAGCCACGTGATAGTGCCGCCGGCGTGAGGTGGGTCGCGAGTCGTCTGCCATATTCTGGCGTTCGTACGGCATTCTGCTGCATAGTCGTATTATGTTCTGTTACGGTCAATCTCATAGGTGCTCGTTTTTACGATTACAAGTATAGAGATAAACTCACACAGGCGCACATCTCTAACCTCTGTGTCTTGGCATTGTTAGGGGGAGCAATCTTTTGCTTCTTTGTGTTGCGTGTTGCGCGCTCGGGCCATTAAAAAAGAAGATACGTAAAAATGTTATGTAGGTTTGTTTTTTTATATTGTTACTTACTTTATGTTTTCACCCTTAGTAGAGCATAGGACATCCACGAAACCTTGCCACATTTTATGATCTTAGAGAAGAACTGGTCTTGTGCCAGTCAGTGCGTACCCATATGGTGTAATTCTTGCTCGATGTACCTTCTCCAATTTAATTTTGGGTGCCCCTGTATTCTCTTTCCCTGGGGCCCAGAGGGGGTTCCAGAAAAGTGTTTTCCTTGTCAAACATTCTGGCAGTTTCTTCAGTGTTCGCATCATCCACTGCCACTTTTGTCTGAGCACCTGGGCTCCCATAGGTTCCAGCTTAGCTATCTTCGAGAGGCCATTGTTACGAATACCTTAGACCATCGGATCCCTAGGATTGATTTGAAGCATTTTATTCCTAAAAAATGCCTGAATCATATTGATAACTTTCTTGGTGAACTGCCAGGTTTCTTTGCACTAAGGCACTAACTTGATATTAAGGCTCAGTTCTTAGATCCCAACACAGATTTTAGGTAAAAAGCAGTTCTTGCCTCTCCAATTCTGGACCGCACATCCTGTCTTGATCTGCCATCGGTACAAATCACACTACATAGATAGGGAAATAAAGCCCCATCTTCACGAGCCTCATTGTCCAAGGTAATGACTTCACCTACTCAATTAAATCTTCTTTTGAGTATCTACTGAAATCCATTTTTTGTATTGGTGTTTTCTGGGACCAAGTATCTCCTGGCTGTCTCAATCCATACCTGTTTTCAATTCGTTCATGTGCCGTCTACATTTGGCTGATAATGTAGTACCTCACCTACTTGGAATGACAGTGAGGTCACGTTTCGTCTGATCTCTATCCTTCAATCTATTTGGCATGGTTGGTACGTCGACAGAGCTCTATTGGTCATAGAGACACTCACACCGCCCCCATCATCAATAAGGCAGTGGCCACTTTGTAACGGGCTGATGTGATTGGATGCAGGGTAAGTAACTCAGACATTGGGGTCCTTATAATCAAAAATAATTCTAGATGAATATCTTCATATATAATAATGATCAATGGTGAATCATTTTCATATAACTAATGTCGTAAACCTTCTAGTCTGTGCCTGAGTAAATGGTGACAAGTGCATGTTGAATGCAAACAAGAGTAATAGAAGGCTCATGCTCGTCTTTCTCATGCGCATACATTTTTTCCTCGCGTTTCTGGATGACAACCGACAAGTTTAAGTACATGGCGGATGGCGGTGCGCTGCCATCCGCCATGTACTTAAACTTGTC